GGAGGCGTGATAAAGTATTTCATTAACTGTGTCCGAATGACACTTCCTCATTAGATTGCATAATCGGGGAATGATACCATAATGTTTACAACAATATAAAAAGACTAAGTGGCAGGATTGACTTACAATCGTCTTCTTTGTTCGGCTGACTCGTGCTGTACTGCAGCCGTTTGGCTTTACTACGACATTCAGGTTAATATAGTACATAAGACCTCCTCCAACGCTTCGGGCAAAGACGGGCTGATCTCGTCATATGACAAACATTGTCAGAACTGGGATTCATTCTTGTAAAAGCCTCAAATTAAGTTAAGAAGACTGATCGGCTTTTCCCTATATGATAAATGTACTAATTGCGAAAAGAATTTAGATATAGATGGATATAGAAAGGTTTAATTAACTCACTGTTAACTTATGTACTCTAAACCGGCCATAACTTGGATTAGATATAAAAAAAGCTTAGCGCCGGCCCTGGGTCATCAAGGCCTTATGACCCAAGGAAAAAAACATGACCTAGATTGCGTTATTCCGTAAGTAACCCTGGTCGAATTGATGAGATGTAAGTCTACACGTGATGGTCAGCTTACAAAACCACTAGTCCGAACCCGTTAGTCTGGGTTATTAAAGTTTAATGATCCAAGGAAAAGCATGGCTCGGGTTGCATAGTCTTGCACGTTTGTCTTGGTTGATGAGCTTGATATGCCTGTTGATCGAGGGTGAAGTTAGTTAGAATCATCACTCTGCTGACACGTCACCTTTTATTCGGCCGCTCAACACCCTCCAATCTTTCAATCAAGCATGATTAATTCTTAGTCAGCCAGCGGCTCATCAATTCAACCAGGGTTGTTTTCGAACTAAAGAAATATTGTTCATGTTTTTTCCCTTAGGTCATTAAGCCTTGACCCGTGGCCGGTTTAGCGTACAGACCTTAACGCACATACACGCTTGAGTATAAGTGAATTAACCAAACTTTCTACATCCATCTATTTCTAAATTCTTATCGCAATGAGTATATAGATCATATAGGAAAAAGCCGGTCAGCCTTCTTGACTTAATTTGAGGCTTTTACAAGAATGAGTCCCAGTTCTGACGATGTTCGTCATATGACGGGGTCAGCTCGTCTTCGCCCAAAACGGAGGATGTCTCATGGACTGCATCAACCTGAATGTCGTACTTAAGCCAAATGACTGTAGTACAACACAGACCAGCTGGCGTCTTCTGGTGGGATTGACTTATGAATCTTTTCATCATGCACTTTGACACAAAATGAAAGTCTTCCAAACAGCCCAAATATTTGTTCAGAGATGCTTTCGTTGAATATGTTATAGGTATAAGTTATTTGACCTTGTTTTCGCAACTTCGTCACATTGGTAGGAAGACTTAGAGGAACGCACCTTGTCCGGAGTTCATTGTCTGCATAATCATTTCCAAAGTCGAACCGTCGACGTGGTACATTCCCAGGCGTTCCGTCGGCATCGTAGTCAGCATCGTCCATGTGGAAAAGGCCTGCCCATGGGACTTACTCAGAGGCTTTAGCCTCGAATTATTCACCCAGCCACAGATGAGGGGTAATAACACCTCGAGTAGCAGGAAGAGAGAAATACTTATAATAGAAAGATCGCAGATAGATTCTACGAGGCAAGAGAGAGATTGTGGTAAGACCTAGAGAAGGAGGACTGCGTAACAATATGGCATATTTTGATCAACATTCCCAGCACAAGGATGAAAAGGGGTGAGAAGGCCAGCATGGAGTGCGGAGGGTTCCCATTAAAGCCGC